CAACACCATGGGCCAAGCCCTCAGTTTTTTCTTCACCTTCTTCCGCGTCCAGCTCTTCGCGAAACTCCAAGACACCCACGCGGATCTGACGGGCAGAACCTACCTCGTCACGGGCAGCAACACCGGCCTTGGCCTCGCGCTCGCCATCCACCTCGCGCGTCTGAACCCCGCCCGAATCATCCTTGCCGTGCGCGATCTTGGAAAAGGGGAGGCCGCGCGCGCTCAGATCGTCAAGGAGACGGCGTTCGCGCCCGAGAGGATAGAGGTGTGGGAGTTGGACATGGCGAGCTTCGCGAGTGTGGTGCGGTTTGCTGAGCGCACGAAGGGGACGCTTGAGAGGCTGGATGGGGTGGTGCTCAATGCGGGGATCAATTCGTCCGAGTGGGGCGTCACGGAGGATGGGTGGGAGAAGATGTGCGTATTTTGTCTTGAGACTCGGAAATCCGTCTGCAGCACGGTGTTCGAACGGTGAGTTCGTTACTTAACGTTGCTTATGGCAGGCTTCAAGTCAACGCCCTTTCCACCGGTCTCCTAGGCGTCCTCCTGCTGCCTCTGCTTCAGCGCACATCCATGCTCCCCCACCCTCTCCCCGACACCGCAATACAACCGCATCTCACCATTACCGGCTCAGAGGGTGCGGCACCGTATTAAAATTATGAATCGATTCGCTGACTACGGATAAATTCAACCCCGCTTTTCATCCGATTTTCTTCCAGGCATGGGCCTCGCCTCTTTCCCTTTCAAATCCGCGCCGAACATCCTCGCGGCGCTGAACGACAAGACCAAATTGAAGAGCAACGGTCTCATGGGCCGCTACCCCACGTCCAAGCTCTTTGATCTCTACCTCGTGCGCGAGATCGCGGCCAAGGACGCGGCGAAGAACGTTGTGGTCAAGTACGCATTGATTGCTCTTCGTTTCTTTGACCCATTACGGGGCTCTTGCGCGTGGCGCATTGGGAAGTGCAATTGCTATTGCCTTCGTTCGCAGACCCGCGCTGTCTGAATCGTTTGCTGATGCCCTGTCCTTGATCCTTTACAGTGTTGTCGCCCCCGGGCTCTGCTCCAGCGAACTAGGACGAGACTTTGCGCTCCCGGCGGTTGCGTTGTGCGTTTCTTTCTTTCTCTTTCCCTTTCTCTTTGTCCTCCTCTATGTCCACACTGTCCGCCTTTCGCATGATAGACCAATTAGCTAAATAAATTGCGCCACACAGATTCCTCCTCAAACATCTTGCCTTCACCACCACGCAGGGTGCGCTGAACCTGCTCTACGGGGTCCTCCGCCAAACCCCGCCTGGCGCGTATGTATATGCGTGCAAGTTGACAACGTACGTTGTGGTTCTTTTTTTCCCCTTCATACTTGTTTCGCGCATTCCCTTCATCGACGTATTTCATTCCTTCCCCTCCTCAAAGTCTCGGCTTTTGACTTTCATCTACATTCGATTCCCTTCTTCTCCTCACACCTCCTGTACCCTCAACTGACCTCTCCCAGCCCCCCCTCCTGGACGACCTCCTCCGCTGGCCTGACCACGCAAGCCCAGGTATGGAACGAGATGGTGGAGGTGTGGATGGGCGTGGAGGGCGTTGCGGCGGAGCTCAGGAGGATCCTTGGGCTTGGGGCGGAGTAACAATGTTTCAATTTCAGTTTCCGTAACGAAATAATGGTTGGATTCCATCGCTGCAGATACTGTACTGTTTTGACCAAGTGTTCGGTCACTGGTCACAAGGACCATCGAACCGAACACTTGGTGGAAGTTGTCACAGGTCATCGTGGTTTTGGATCGATGTTTTTGAACTTTTCCGTCCCAAATAGGCAATTTTCGCTGCGGCTTCGCCGGATAACTTCCTTAAAAGGCAATTCGAACTGTTGGCAAACGAACAGTTGTGGTCACAGGTCACAACAGGCGAATACTTGGTCAAAACGCTACAGTACTATAAAGTATATCCCTCTGATAAACGTTCACATTCCTTTTTTCTTCTCAAAATCCCCCCATGGCGGTGCTGCAATTTGTCGCCAAAGACCTCAGTGCTGGTCTACTAGTACTGCTGAGGGAAAAAGACCACGTTCGCTTCACTGCGGGAAGGAAAGGTACTTACTTCATGTGAGTGCCCGGGCGCTCACACCGAGAAAAGGGTACTCACCTGAAGGTCATTCTTTTGTAGTGCTTTCTGGGATACTCTGCCTGAGTGTGGAAGGATCCTATTCAACCTGCATTACGTCATCACTCGGCACAAATTCTGATACCCCCTGTGGCGGTGCTCCGAAAGCCTTTTGCTCAAAATCATGTCGCAAGTGCGCAACCCTTTACTTGAAAGTCCTTCTCGCCGATCCTACCCCAGAAAATACAGACTGACGTTCCCGGCAAAGTCATTCAGAAGGCTCAGTCCTCTTCCATCTCATCACCTAGTGGCAGCGAGGTATGTACAAATCCAAGGGGAAATCGGGATTAAAAAACCGGATATACTTTTTAGTACATAAAGTTTAGAGGTTCAAAATGGTTAATAGACCATTAAGGAGGTGTTGGTTGGTTTTAATAAACATAAATGAATGCCCAGAGAGTGTATAGAATAACATTTATCAATCTGAACCCATACCTTCCGTGAGTCAAGCCAAGTTGGCTTTCAAACGCATGTAACATCTGCAGGGCTTCCCCGTCGCATGGCTCGTGCCCGTACACGACAAATTCGTTATGGAACGCGCGCAGTGGAACCACGAGCCAGCCCCCGCCGACGCTCTCAAGGGCGAAGACTTGAGCGTTAACTGGCCGCACTCGGCCAGCGCTCACTACTTCTTGCCTAAATTCCATGGCATGGCTATCGGCCCCACTATTGTCCGCCTTTAATTTGGTATATCGGGCTGCATCGTCCCCTTCGCCGACTTCCCGATTCTCGAAACGCCGACGATGGTTTTCACCATCGCAGGGCCCGCAGACGCCGAGGGGAAGACCTTCTGAATCTACGTCTACGTCCATGTCCATCTGAAACAAAGCGCGACGAAGCTCTACCACCTACCCAGCTTCGCAAGTGTCGTCGACATGTATCGGAACTGCTACGCGGAGCCGTGGGGCACGGTGTGCGTCCCGCCGGTTGCTGGCGGGGAAGACGTGGCAACGAAGGAGCTAATCAAATCTGGATATTTACCTGAGGTACCCTTGAAGGCTAAGAAGCCTAAGAAGCCCAAGAAGAATGGGTTCGATTGGGTGGATCATTTCGCGAGGGAGAAGGCTGGGGAGGCGTTATAGGGGTGAAGAGAACTGTCCTGTGCGCCGTTTGCTTTTTTACTTGTTGCCCCATGCTGACTCTGAGTTCAAGGAACCAACATTCCTTCTCCTCGAACAACAGGTCACAAAGTTGGTGTTCAAAGAATTCATAATCGACCTTCCCGCACCTCCGATTCAGCCAATCCCGAGTCCTTTTAGCCCCGTATGTTCGACACATGGAGCCAGGTCTTCTGAGTTCCCGTGGAGCAAGTCGGTTTGCTTTTCCCACAATGTATGGGAGAGGCGAGCAAATCCAAGTCTCAACCCTCTCGTCCTCTCACCTCAACTGAAAATTAATACCCGGTTCCCACCTCAATTTCTTGACGCAAATCACGCCTTGAATGCTTAACAAGTTGAAATTTCCAACAGGCTCCCAGCTGCAGCCTACTTTTCCCAATCTGAAGTGCATTTCCGCCCAGTATATTCGATACAGATAGGTATCTGAAATCTTTGTAACTCACTCCCGTCGTTTGTCGACAAAGCAGGAATAACACTATTCATTAAGCGATTCGGGCACGGAACGTTGAGCGCCACAACAGGCAAGTTCGGATAGCCCAGGTGTGATATAGTGTCGCGCGAGTGTGCACGGGAGTAGTTTGAATCCACTTCAAATATGGCTTCTTTTTCTACCCCACAGTAACCGGTGTGTGTCAACAAATGACTGAGGTCCTTCCATCCGTCAGCAAATCTCTCTGTCCTCCAGGCCAGTGAACTTTTCATTTTGGAGACTTGCTGCAAGTTACTGAGTATATTCAACATCCATAGTATGTTTTACAAGTCCCTGTGGAGAAAGGCCGCTCTCTCCCACATTGTCGCACATATATCCCACAGTCACTGGAGAGCAGGCGGTTCGAATCCACCCAGGGACCTATGATCTTGGCAGAACTACTCAGTATGTTTTTCTCTCTTTCAAGGATTCGTTCTCCGACCCTTAAGCTCGACCGATTACCGAGAACCAACCAACTGTCTCACTTCCTCCATCCAAATCATCCCCCTCGAATATTTGCTAATCCCAAGCTCAACATCGCACCTGTTCAAGAAAGCATTTGTGTAATCTCAGTCGGGTTGTGTCTGATATGGATGCTACAAGTTCCTGTCGAGAAGGGCTGCTCACTACCCATCCTTTAAGGTTTTCCTTTCTTCGTGAGTTGCGGTGGAGTCGGTGGTTCGAATCCATCCGAACTGTTCGCGGCTTTTTTGTGTTGTTTCGAAAAACCAGCAAGTATTCCGGACCCGGACCCCACCTCTTTATGGTATTGACGATTCAAAATCGTCTCGCGAACGTCAAGACGGTGTGCTGTCCGAAGTAATTTCAAGTTTGCGAACAAATCACCTCATGTACAAGTTCATATATGTATTTTCACACGCCGCCTGCTTATCACCTCCACGTCACCCAATATACTTATTCGTGCCCGCATCTGGGCTTACAAGCCCTCGTTAAGGAAGGTCGCTCCCAGCTTTTGTCAGTTGAACAATATGGGCTTCAGAGAGCGGGTGGTTCGAATCCACCGGCGACGTTGTAAATGTATTCGCTTTTTTTCAACCATCCCCTAGCCATCTCGGCAGCGCAGCAATATTGGAAGTGCAATGACCGGAGGCATTTCTTCCTTCCCTGTTCCCGCGTCTAGTCACTTTGCCCGGCAAAGAGGGTTGGTTCGACTTGTTTTGGGACACCGACTGTCAATTAGCATTGCTCAATTTAAAGTGACTCGCTATATTCAACGCGAACAGTAGATCTTTCAGGTTCCTGTGGAGCATGGTAGCTCGCCTCCTTACCCTATAGGGCTTGGGCGTGTTCAAGGAAGAACCGGTGGTTCGATTCCGCCCAGGGACCTTACTCGTGTTGGTCGCAAGTTTTTTTTCTTCAAGGCTAACAGCGCTGGTTGGTTCAACTCGTTTACAACTCCTCCATAGATGCTACTACATATCCAATGCCTGCAGTCGATGTTGGAAGTTCCTGAGTAAAGCAACTCGCTCTCGTTATCTTATAAACAAGATCTTGGTTGGGATTACATAAGGAAGAGCAAGTGGTTCGAAAGGGACGGTCATTTTTTCTTTCGTTTCTTCTTGTTTCTTTTTGACGGCTTTCTTCGTTTCGTAGGTCGAATCCACTCAGGGAATTCAGCTTTGATGCAGAATATTTTCGTTTAGACTTTCTGTTCGATTATTGAAGTCGGTGTGTTCAACTCTCCAAACTCTAGTAAATATCCGGTACTTAGGGTAGATGTTACAAGTCCGTGTGGAGCAAAGTAGCTCCCTTTGCTTACGTGTGGTATAAAGATGTACGGGAGAGCCGGCGGTTCGAGTCCGTCCAAGGACATGTTCTTTCTCCGTCGTTTTTGGCGGCGTTCAACGCCCTGTCGGCTCCGAAGTCGGTCGAAGTTATTCCACAGTGAAGAGATCTCGCAGCGGCAGGATATTCAAGTCACATCACCGAACTTGAGCAGAAATGAATTCAATCTTCACGCCCCGAAGGAGGCGTGTTCTGAGAAATACTACTTACGTAGAGCCAGGGCTACAGGAACGACGGGCGAAGGGAGCAAGAAGAGAGTGTAAATGCAGTATGGTAAAGTCGATACAACGGAGGAGACTCCGAGAGCTAGAGACCAGGTAACGATACATATAGAGAACAGAGAAGATAGAAAGGCGAGACGCTACGTACGATAGGGATCAGGCGTGGTATGATGTGGGTATGTGTATGGAGAGTGCAGAGAATGCGGAGAGAATCAAGTAGGATGTAGATGATGAATTGAGGATTTTGAGGATTTTGAGGGCGCGCGGCGCGTCGGCGCGGACAACCGGTGCGAATAGCGGCGCGGACGCGGGAAGCGAATAGCCTGCCAGCGGCAAGGTAACACAACACTCACTGGGCAACGACATTCATCGCGCCCAGCACACTAGATCGAGCGCATCCCAGAGCGGGGCTTCTTACACGCTGAGCGCCATCATGGCCTGGCAAAGCTTCTTCACGCGCCACACGTGCTCCAGCAGCGTTGCGATAAGGGAAGAGACAGAGGCAAGGTGCGCAGCGAGGGTGTGAAGGTAGGGCGGGGAGGCAAGCGTCGCTGCCACGGTGGATGCTGCTCCGTTGACCGACGGGAAGGAAAGCTAGGAGAGGAAAGACGGCATTAAGGGTAGGAGCGCGGCGACGGCGACGTCGATACCGTGCGTGCATATGTGTGAGTGGGGAATGGCGAACACGGGTGGGGAAGGGAGCACGAACGGGAGGACAGGGAGCGTTACCGCGCCCGTGGCCGTGGGGGTAGGGGCAGCTTGGCGCAGTACGCAGCGAGGACAACGGCGTGGACCGCAAAAATCGACGCCTCCGCACTAAATCTTTGGATGACGTCGGACAGCGCATGCGTGAAATAGCTGCGCGTGCAGGGGAACGGTGAGCGCGGAGGGCAGTCTGTCGCGCGAGAGGGTCATGCGCGGGGGGGGAGATGCGACGGTGTCAAGGAGCCGATGCCCGGCTGCATGGAGGGCGCCTCGGCGGCGAGGACGTCTGGGTTATTGTTGGGGAAGGGTCGGCGCGTGAGCGTGTACGGGAATTGGAAGGCTGGGTTAGCGGCTAGCCGGGGATTCCTGCTGCTGGCATGCGAGTGCGAGTCGTGCGAGGAACGTTCGGTCCGAGGAGCGCCCGCGGAGGCGGAATGCGGCGGGGTGCGACGCGGCTTCAAACATCTCCGAGTCTTGCCAGTAGTTATTTGGCGTTGGATTTCTTTTGAGATCTATCCACGCAATGGCACGCACCGCTATCGGCTCATTGGTCTCGCGAGCCGGGAGTCGAAGTTGCCTGTCCATGCCGGCATTATACGCATCTGCTCCTTCCAATTGCCGTAAATGCGGCCAACGGGGACCAGGGCGACGGCGTGGGCTAGTGGACACTGAAAAATCGCTGCCACAAGTCCATTTTCACGTGGGCTTCGATTGCGTCAACCGAGTGTCTGGGAGGATAATTCCAGTCCAGATCGTGTTCGAGGCGTCGCCGCTGCAGCTTGCGCATCCTGGGAGTTGGCTTGGTCGCGACGTTGCAGGAGGAGAAAAGAAAACGACATGATGGTCGATCAACACAGCCACCTCGCGTCTTGCTGCCAACGCCGACCGGCCGGCGCTCACCTGGAAACAGCACACAGAGCTCTGTCTCCAAGTCACCAGCTTTTGTTACAGGTTTTTGCGTGCTCCGCGTCTCCACTTCGTCACGATCACAGCGAACTATTTCCTGGTTCACGCTAAGTAATTTCGCCATTCTGCAATGTTCTGGTCAGTCAATGTCTGCTTACTCTTGCCATACAACTCGACCCTTGGGCCCTTTTCTAGCGCGTCAATTCCGAGTAAACCTAACTTCAAGCTTTTGCCCTCATTCGACAGTGCACAGCGTCAATACGTATAAGTGTAGCCCTGGACCACTTTTTGCGCTGGTTGTTCCTCTGCTTTCCTCCCCTCTTCCCAAAAAGTAACTGTTCCCAGTCGCTGTACCCCGAAAAGGTTTTTTTCTTATGCCCTTAGGTTGATAAAATGTTTTTTTAAGCCTCAAAATCAATTGACTTAATAGCGGACGGTCGGCGCCCGCCTCGGTGCGAACTTAACTGCGACAGTTCTGGATCCGGTTCGATTCCGGGCCAACTCTAGGACCGAATAAGATACCGGTGTTTTCTTTTCTTTTGGGCGAGACCTGACTAGGCCAATGCGCAAGGTTTAGGGCGTTCATGGTAAATACCACTTTGTCTCTTTCTTTGTTTTATTTTACCCTTTGTTTTATTGTATCTTATTCTTCCTGTTCTCGTCGGATGGGCGCAAGTTTAACGTTTCTTCAGCCACCACCACCGATTACTAAGCCAGAGGAGAGCAGCGAGGCTCTGATTCCAGGTTTAACGGTTTTTCTTTCAGCCACCACAACCGATTACTAACCCAGAGGAGAGCGGCGAGGCTCAGATCTCAGGTTTAACGTTTTTTCAGCCGCCAAATGCGGAAGGAAGATTACACAGCACGGTCCCGCTTAGGAACGCCGGGGCGCCCAGGAAGTAACTGAGTGTACAGGACACTAGTGTACACTACGGTCCCTGGACTTCTCCATATTCCCCAGTTTAGACCAGTCCAGAGCGTCAGATGATCGATGACCACTCTAGTTTCATCATATGATCTGGTCGCAGGTTTCAGGATTCCGATCTAGTATGGAGGTGAGACCTGGAACCTAGGGCTGTGACCCGTCACTGTAAACAATGGGCCGTCGTACGGGTACGGGACCCGCCCGTAGGCACTTTATGCCTGCGCTTCTATGGGTCGGGTAAGGTACGGGTACATCCGCAGACGGGTCACCCATACCCGGCAGTATACGGGTTTCACGGGTTGAGTAATATCATTTGCTTGGATACCATGCCGCCTTTCTTGCCGCGACTGGCGGGATCATTACGGTAACGTTTCCGGCTCTAAGCCGAGCTGCGGTACGGTTCGAGTCAATTTGCCGCAAGGTCTGAACAGTCACTTCCGTCTTGCCGCGGCCTGGGATCACCTCGGCTAATGATCGGCTTCTAGCAAAAATGGACTGGTTCAATATTTCCATGCAGGTATGTGAGCGATGGAGTGTAGACCACGCCTCTAATCATCCCTCACTGGGGATGTGAAAGACCCTGGATTCCAGGGTGAAAAGTCAGTCTGATTCGACTTGGGATACAACCACAAATACCTTGTAATCCAGCACGAAATAGTGAAAACCAGGCAGTTCCGTCGTGGTGCTGATCGTCGTCGAAGTTGAGCAGCTCATCGTCATCATCGGACAACGAGGACGAGGGAGCGCGGAGTCGACGGCGAGGCTGTTGGTGCAGTTGGGACGGGCCTGGGGTCGGGGAATTCCTCGGTGAATTCTGCGCAGGTGTGGAGGGGTTTCTGGGGGAAGGGGCAGGCCCTAACACTGATTTATTGGTATCCGGACATCATCCTAAGCCTTGAGGTCGGATATGTAGTAACTGCTTATTGAATTGATCAATAGTGAAGGATCAAAATTCTTGTATCTTACGGCCGTGTACGCCCGGGGCCGTAAGGGATTTCAGTCATCCCGTCTACGGGACGGGTACGGTACATGTCACCCGTACATAAGTACCCGTTCCGTACCCGTTTTACGGGTACGGGTATACGGGTTGCAGCCCTACTGTAACCTAAAACGGTACCAGGAATTGGCACCACAATAAATATTTCGGGGCTGGACTGCGCTGGACCAGGGGCATATAACGTCAACGATGCTGCAATACTTCCACCTTCGGTCATTGAGACCGTGCTGCTGCACGGCCTTTTTAATCTCGCTCCACTGAATAATCCAACAAGGATCCCCGAATGGGCAATTACCGAAGGAAGACCGCACGAATACACCCAAGCTGAACAGTAGCGTGTGGATGTATCATGTATTCCATAACATTTGCTTGTGCCCATTTGCACCATGCGGACAAGGCGCGTTTCACTTCACCCCATTCCGGATGTTTAACTCAGCTTTGATAAACTTTTGTGGATCAATCAATGATTCTGCCGTGTATTTCGTCAGCGCTCAGGACAGCCCTAAAACGCAGACTCGGCAGGTTTAGAAGCCGATTAGTAACATTGTTTACCGTATACTTTCCGCATTCTGACTAATTTCTCCCTCTCATAAATACCGTCCTCTCAGGATGCGTCGCTCAACGTATCGAGATCATTTTAATGACTATCTTTTCCTTTCTTCGAGCGGCGCTTCTGGCTCTAATATCCTCTCAACTTGTGTTTGGCAGTACGGCACAAGGACTGAACGCACTCGAGGAATGCCCAGACACGGAGAGCAGTGTTTATGATTACATCGTGGTTGGCTCG